ATCTTTCCCTTCCTATTTCCCCATTCTCCCCTCCCATATCCCATCTGTCCTCTCCCTTTCCCCTCAATTGTTCCTCTATTTCCCCTCTTCCATCCCTCTCTTTTTTGCCCTCTTCCCTCTCCCCTGTCCATTTCCCCTCTTCCATCTCTCACTCTCCCATCTTTCCCTTCTTCCCCTCTCTCCCCTCTTTCCCCTTCCTCCCATTTTTTTCCTTGCAGGTATCGTCCTCGTGGCCATCAACCCGTACGATGAGATGCCCATCTATGGCCCCGACACCATCTCGGCGTATCGGGGCCACTCCATGGGCGACCTGGACCCGCACATCTTTGCCGTGGCTGAAGAGGCCTTCACACAGATGGAAAGGTGGGTTTGGGGAAAGGGGAATTGGGTGTCTAGTAGGGGAGTGGGTGGAAAATGGGGAGGATAGCCTGATATTTGTTTATATATATATATTCTTTTTCCTCTTCTTCTTTCTTTTGTTTTCTTTTCTTTTTCAGGATGTTTGGGTATAAAGGTATTAGGGCAAGGGGTAGGTGATCAGAATTGCTTGGCAGATGGGCTGATGAGTGGGAGAATTGGAATACTAGGTTATGGGGATGAGGAGGTGTTGGGGATGTGTGTGAGGGGGGATGCTAGAGTAGGGAGTGGTTCTGTGGGTGTGGTACTGTGGGCATTAGGAAATGGGTTGTTAATGTTTTGGGTTAGTATGGGGAGAAGGGTTGGATTAGGTGCTTGGTTGAGGGATTCGGAGAATGGAGAGGTGTGCTGGGTCATAGGGTATTGGGATTGGGGAATGGAGAATTGGTTGGGTCATAGGATACTGGGATTGGGGAATGGAGGGGCTCATTTGTTGTTTGAGGGCATTGGGTGTGGGTATTTTGATGTTTGGTTTGGGAGGCCAGGTTGTTAGGTTGGGCAGTGTGATGTTATTTCAGGAGGTTTAGTTACTGTGGGTTGGGGAATATGGTGTTGGGTTGGTGTGTTTGGTTATTGGGTTGGGAGATGTGAAGTTAGGTTGGTATTGTTTAATTACTATCTTGGGGAATGTTGGGTTGGGGTGTTCAGGTAGTGGTTTGGGGAATGTTTCATTTGCTTTGTGTATTATGATAGAATGGGGAATGCTGCGTTGCGTTGGGTTGTAGTTGGGATACATTACATGTGTTTATGGATATAATACCTCTGCTATCTTATTTCTATTTTTTGTTTCTGGCCATAAGTCTTTTTCCTTTGTCTATCTTCTTTTCTTTCTTCTTATATATTTCTTCATTAGCTTTCTTTCTACTTCCTTCCTTTCTTCCTTTCTGCTTTTCACCTCTTTTCTCTCTCTCTCTCTCTCTCTCTCTCTCTCTCTCTCTCTCTCTCTCTCTCTCTCTCTCTCTCTCTCTCTCTCTCTCTCTCTCTCTCTCTCTCTCTCTCTCTCTCTCTCTTCTCTCTCACTCTCACTTCTCACTCTCTCTCACTCACTCTCACTCTCTCTCACTCTCTCTCTCACTCTCTCTCACTCTCTCTCACTCACTCTCACTCACTCTCTCTCTCTCTCTCTCTCTCTCTCTCTCTCTCTCTCTCTCTCTCTCTCTCTCTCTCTCTCTCTCTCTCTCTCTCTCTCTCTCTCTCTCTCTCTCTCTCTCTCATTCTCTCTCTCTCTCTCTCTCTCTCTCTCTCTCTCTCTCTCTCTCTCTCTCTCTCTCTCTCTCTCTCTCTCTCTCTCTCTCTCTCTCTCTCTTCTCTCTCGCTCTCTCTCTCTCTCTCTCTCTCTCTCTCTCTCTCTCTCTCTCTCCTCTCTCTTCTCTCTCTCTCTCTCTCTCTCCTCTCTCTCTCTCTCTCTCTCCCTCCTCTCCCTCCCCTCCCTCCCTCCCTCCCTCCCTCCCCTCTCCCTCCCTCCCCCCTCCTCCCCTCCCCTCCCTCTCCCTCCTCTCCCCTCCCTCTCCCTCTCCTCCCTCCCTCTCCCTCTCCCTCTCCCTCTCCCTCTCCCTCTCCTCCCCTCTCCCCTCTCCCTCTCCCTCTCCCTCTTACTCTCCTCCTCTCTCCCTCTCCCCCTCCCCCTCTCTCTCCTCTCCCTCTCTCTCCCTCTCTCTCCCTCTCCCTCTCTCCTCGCCTCCTCGCCCTCTCTCCCCTCTCTCTCTCCCTCATAATCTCCAACACCCTAATGCAAGAAAAGACAGAATATACTTAGTATATTAGTTACAAAGAAAACATAAAACAAAATACCATTGTCTACCTGTCTACCTGTCTATCTGACAAATGTAGAGCTGATATGTGTGGATATACATTATTCACATATGCATGTGCAATACATATGTCCATAGATGTGTGCATAATTTCTTGGGCATATCCAGATTTGCCATGATTAGCATAAACACATATGGGTTATACTGTCATAATCCCCCTCCAGAGGTGAAAACTTAGTTATATTGAGATTAGGACCAAAGATTCATTTAGAAAAAACAAAAAATAGAGAGATTATAGTTAAAAGAGTATTCAAGTTATAGATAGAGACTAGAAAACTTTTAATGAAAAGAAATCAAGTTATGGAATTATGCTTTTAATTGGAACAGAATCCAGAATTTAGAATACAGTTTATCATTACCATGTAATAATTAGAGTAAAACTTAGGTTGTATCTAAAACCAAAACCCAAGTTATTGTTAAAAAAGAACCCAACTTGCAACTTTAATCAAACAGAACCAATACAGACACAGGTGTGTTTAGAAAGAAATGACTGCATATTTTATTCTGTTACAATGAAACATTATTTGTTTCCAGAGAGAACAAAGACCAGAGTATTATTGTCTCAGGAGAGTCGGGTGCTGGGAAGACCGTGTCTGCCAAATATGCCATGAGGTACTTTGCCACCATCAGTGGGTCTGATTCAGAGACACAGATCGAGAAAAAGATCCTGGCGTCAAATCCTATCATGGAAGTGAGTGCATATCTGCTTGTTGTTTTTGTTTTTGCATGCTTGAACATAATTGGGTTTGCTTATGATTATGTATTATTTTATGTGTGTGTGCGCATGCATATGTGTGTGTGCATGTGTGTGTCTGTGCGTGAGAGTGTGCATGTGTGTGTCTGTGCGTGAGAGGGTGTGTGCATGCTTACTTAAATTTTTTATGAATAAATCAGTCAGATACATGTAAGAAGAGTGTTCATGCAAACATAAGTTGTTTTAAGAACTATCAAGCATATCACTAATAAATCTGAACTGAAGTGTCATTCTCTTGAACTCCTTTTTATAATAAATAACTATTGATAAACTTGTCCATCCCCCTCTCCCAAGGCCATTGGTAATGCCAAGACAACTAGAAATGACAACAGTTCTCGCTTCGGAAAGTACATAGAGCTGGACTTTACACCCAGCTACAGCATCATGGGTGCAAACATGCGAACTTACCTCTTGGAGAAATCCCGCGTTGTCTTCCAGGTAAGGATTTCACTGAGGATTTCATTCCTTTGTTTTATTCGCTCTAGTTACTTAGATTATTTTTTTGTTTGTTTGTTTTGATAGTTAGGATAATTAGATGTTAGGCATAGTTTATACAACAGCATTCATGGTTCCTTTTTAAGCTAGTTCAGTTTCCTGTGTTTGTTTATTTGTTTCTCTGGGTTATATAGTGGTAGGTTTTTGTCTATTACCCCATTTTTTTTTATATGATGATTAATTAATTTTTTACTTTATTATTGCTTGTATTCTTTGATTTCTTTACTTATTAACTTGTATCCTTATTCACATGTAATAATTACTTGCTTATTCATTAAGTAGCTCATTCATTATTATATTAATTGATTTATTGAATCATTTCTTATCAGTTGTCTTATTTGTTGATACATTTATTTTATTTTGTATATATCAACATTTTTTTATTTATATTTTGTTATATTTTCTTTTGGTTTATTCTTTATTCAGTTTATGTTAGTTTGTTTTATATTTGTTTCCATTGAAGTGTTAGTTATACATGAACTATATTTGTTATTTATGTATGGTTTTTTGTCAGTATTGGTAATACCAATGTGTATTATTGTATCTTATTGTATTGTATGTGATAGTTTACAGGATTTAGTGTTTCTATATTTACTATATTTGTTATTTATGTATTGTTTTTTGTCAGTATTGGTAATACCAATGTGTATTACTGTATCTTATTGTATTGTATGTGACAGTTTACAGGATTTAGTGTTTCTTTGTAATATATTGGAACATGATGTAAAGGATATATTAGGTTTGTAGGTTTTTATCAGAAAAGTTTGTAGAGTATCTAAAAAGAATATTTTCTCTTTTTAAAAGTGAATATTTTTATACTGTATTAGAAAAACAACAACTAAAGAATCAGGGATATGAATAAAAAGGATTACTAGTTTATACTTTGGACATAGAAGGGAAGCTGCGAAGACAACATTCGTGCAAAAAATAGACAGGGAATAACTGTGAAAAGATATTCTTTGTCCATTTATTTGGTTTAGGCAGATGGATGATATCAGTCACTATTAGATCTGTTTCTAAAATGTCTAAGAGGAAAATTTGGTAAGATTTATTAATATAGCTTATAATGGAAATATTGCTAAGACCCAATACTGTATGTATGTAAGGGTGTATGCCTGCATGCGCATTTGCACATGAGTGTATGTTTTATATAGATACAAGAAGAATGTCACTTACCATAGTCATATGTTCATTTTATTATTTGTTGCAGGCTCCAGATGAGAGAAATTACCACATATTCTACCAGTTGTGTTCTGCTGCAGAGCAAGGAAAGCTGCCTCATCTAAAATTAAGTGAGTTGAGTTTGTGCATCAAAATTACTGTTGAACATGAGTTTAATTATGAGTACATGAGTCATGAGGAAGAGGGGAGGTTAAAGACAAGTGATGAAAATTAAATGTTAGTAGGGTGTGTGCTAATATGATTTTTTTTTATATTTTGTTTCATAAATGAATTAGAAGTGTGTTTGATTTTCTTTTACACATAAATGGGTTCATAAATGGGGCAATTTGATTCTGGTGAAATTGATTTTTTTGATTCTTAAGAATTTCTTTGATTTCTTTTCTTTAAAATAAAAAAAAGTGAAAAGTGATTAACTGGGACTTGTTCTTGTGTGAGTGTACAGTTGATGTAAAAAGAATCGGCTTAGTCTGTGGTTTATTCATTTTTGTATGACTTATCCATGTGTTCATACCTGAAAATTGATATTGTTAATTTTGTTGTCTTGAATTTCTCAATTGCTTGAAACAGATTGAAATTGACTGTATTGATGAAATTAGAATTAATGTATAAAATGTGATATAAAATTGAGAAGACTTACACTGTGTCATTTGTCTTGTACATATTGATGTATAGTTTTATATGTATACTATTAGGAGGGCTGTAATATACCATGTTAGTGACTATGACAGATTATTTTTTAGTGCAATATTTGGTCTTGAATCGTACTTTTAAATTTTTTCAGGTTTTATTAATTTCTTTCTTTTCCCCCACCGCCATAAATCTTGAGGTTATTTATTTATTATTTTTTTCACATGCTTATACTATTTTTGCATAACTAAGTTCAAACTTTATTGAATGCAAAAATAACTCCTTTGTTATTGTGGCTGTGGTTTTATATTCGTACCCATATGTTCCCCATCCTTGAGAAAAGAAAGTGTTGCAGAATTTTATTTGTTTTCATATAAAGAAAGAACCTTCCCCATCCTACCCTCTCTAACTTCCTTCCACATTTGAACTGCAATAACCTCTTCTTTAGGGAAGCCGATGAGGTTTCACTACCTGAACCAGGGGCTTCAAGAAGGACCCATGGTGGCGTCCAAACCTCGCAAGGGTGTGGTTCAGTGAGCGATGCGTGTGTTGCGAGATAGATCGCTTGGTGCTAGGAACTTATGGCTTGAGCTTCATTGCATTTCCCCCCCTCATTTTTTTCTTTTCTTTTCTTTCTTTTCTTCAGCATGTTTTGAGATTTTGGCAATTTGTGATGCCCTTTCCTAATCTTGATTTTTTCACTCTTTTTCTTTCTTTTTTATATGTTTCTTTTTATGTCCTCTCCTTTTCTTTTGTTTTCTCACTCCAATATTTGAAGAGTTAGTGTGGATGGTGTACCTACTGAAGGCACTCCCTCTATTAATTTCTTTATCATTGTGTTTACTATATTTATATTTTTCTTTTGTAACACTATATTACATATCAGACTCAACACCTTTGGCCAGTTGAACATCACAACCCCAGTATGAACACGAACTGGCCCCTTTACTTGGGATTTGCTTAACCGAGTCTGATATGCCTCATCCTTGTCTTCGTTGAGGACATTTTTATGATATATTGTAATTTAGTTTGTTATTTCATTGTATATCGGGGTTATGCATAAGTGAGGGTGGATTTTAAATGTTTTCAAAATTTAATGTAAAGAATGGACAAGAATTGTTTTCTACAATTTTCTTGGAGTAATGAGCAAGTTGCAAAATAGTAGGGCAAATGATTCAGAAGGGATATGGTCATTATACACCATCTTGGAGAACTATAATCCTGTATACTTCCATATTAAATTCAAGAAAGAATAGGATACTGATAATTTCATAGAAAATTAGAAAACTATAGCTTAGTATCTATATTACATAATATGGCAGACTATGCTAAGTAAGCTATATCCAGTTACTAGTAGATACAGTAATGTAATTCAAAGAAATGAAGCTATTTTATTATTTTGTTAAATAAAAATGCTTGGGCTTGTTTCTCTCTTTTGTCTCTCAAATATTTCTACCCTGGTGGTTGCTTTGAAACTCTTCGGTATTACAGTTACATTGGTGACTTTTTATGCTTGGTGAAAGAAGAAATGAGTATGAGACTGTTGAATTATGTGCTTGCTTTTGACCAGAAAATGAAATGTGCTTGTATGCAGGTTTGAATTTTAGTGGAGTTTAGGTATTTATGATTTTTAAGATTGATTGATTTTGATATATATTGGTAATTATGTATATAGATGTTTATAAGTTGCTAAGAATCCATCTTTGATTATGTCAAAATTTTCTTTTTATAAGAAGGAAAATTGCACTTGTAGTAGAGCGAAAAATACATTCAGAATAACTATGTATTTTAAGAAACGATTATTAAGTACCAAGGTAAGTGAGTTTTCTTCAAAACAATTAGATTGATTTGTGGAAACCTTAAGATACTGCAGTGTCTGATATTGCAAGTGTATTTCAGGTCATCAAGACAACTTCCACTACCTCAAGCAAGGCAGCAGCCCGCACATCGACGGGGTGGACGATGCCGAGGACTTTATTGAGACTTGTAAGGCATTCAGCCTCCTTGGCATCAATGAGGGGATGCAGGAACAGATCTTCAGAATATTGGCTGGGATTCTACATCTGGGGAATGTGGTGCTGGAAGAGGGTAATGGAGATTCGTCAGCCATCAGTGTGAGTTTCATTTTTGGAACTGGCTAGAGTGTACCTGTGCTTGCATGTGTGAGGAGAAAGACAAGGGTGCAGCTGGAAGTTGTGTTTGATCAAGAAAAAT